TGCGGGGAGCCGGGCCAGGAGTTCTGGGCCAAGGTCCTTAGGTGTTCCTTTAGTGTTAGTCTGTGTTTGCATTATTCCTAATATTCCCGCGCAGTGATAATCAAATTTGTTTGCACAAGGATGAATAATTCGGATACCATAAAGGCTGGGAATTACTTTCATGCATTCTAGAGCCTTTCCTATTTCTCCTATGGAGTTGATCAGTCCCATCAAATAATGAAGAAATATAAACATAAGGTAATAAGTGTATATGGCCCTAGCTGGTTGGCTCAGTGGATAGAGCCTCCGCCTGGGGACTGAAGGGACCCGGGTTCGATTAAGGTCAAGGGCACATGTCCAGGTTGTGGGCTCATGCCCAGTAGGGGGCGTGCAGGAGGCAGCTGATAAAAGATTCTTACTCATCATTGATGTTTCTGTCTCTCTCTATCTCTCCCTTCCTCTCACAGTGCTTGTGTTCAGGTAACCTAACTTTACTTAAAATGGCCCCAAAGCACAAGAGTAGTTGTGCTGCAGTTCGGATATGTCAACGAGAAGCCATAAATTCTTTCTTCAAGTGAAAAGTTGGAACGTTCTCAACTTAATGTGGAAAAAAAATTTATGCTGAGGTTGCTAGGATGTAAGGTAAGAAAGAATCCTTTATCCATGAAATTGTAACAAAGGAAAAATAAATTCATGCTAGTTGCTGTTTCACCTCAACCTGCAAAAATTATAGCCACAGTGCATGATAAGTACTTAGTTAAAATGGAAAAGGCATTATATTTGTGGGTGGAAAACATGAACAGAAAATGTGTTCCGATTGATGGCAATGTGTTGGGCCAGAAAGCATATACAGAAGACTTTGGCAAGGGATTTTCTGAAACGAGTGACACCAAACCATTTACTGCAAGTAAGGGATAATTACACAGATTCAGGAATAGGTTTGGACTAAAATAATATAAAAATTACTGAAGAACTGCATCTGCTAATGAAGAAGCTGTCACATTTCCAGGAGAGTTGAAGTTGATCAAGGAGAAAGGGCACCATTCAAAGCAAGTCTTTAGTTACAAGGAAACCAGGCTCTTCTGGAAGAAGATGCCCAATAGAACCTACGTTCATTCATAAGTGCAAAGGAGTTACCAGGGCATGAAACATGGAAGGACAGATGAACTCTGGCACTATGTGGCAATGCTGTAGGGCACATAATAAAGCCAAGTGTAGCGCACAGAGTGAAGAGACCATGTGCTCTCAAAAATAAAAAAAAAAATTATTTGCCTGTATACTGGCAACATAGTCAGAAAACATGGATGACAGCCACAAACACAGCACAAGAAAAAAGGTGAGTACAGTGTATAAGATAATTTTAGAAAGAGATCACATTCATAGCTTTTATTACAGTATGTTATATTGGTCTATTTTATCATTTGTTATTGTTATTAACCTCTTACTGTGCATTATTTATAAATTAAACTTTGTCGTGGGTATGCATGTATAGGAAAAAACATAGTACATGTAAAGTCAGGTACTCTCCATGGTTTCAAGCATCAACTGGGAGTATTGGAACATATACACCACGATAAGTGGGGGACTCTTTACTATTTGCAATTGTATTTACTATTTGTCATTGTAGAGAAATTACAGAGACCATGTAAATTATATTGCTCATATTATCTTATTGTGGTAAGAGATTTAACAGTACCTTAATCCCACCATCAAAAAGTGGCAGTAAATCCTATACATAGAAAACATCAATTCCTTAAGAAATCACTATTATTCATGGGTGGAAGAAGAGAAAAAAAGAACACTAAAGAAGATTATGAAATTGAAAAAGAAACAAGGGATGCAAGAAGGTAGGATGGAATAGTTAACAATACCTCAACAGAGTCAAAGAGAATGAAAATAAATGCAAGCCCATTGGCTATTAGAACAAAGATTTTTGTGATTTTAAGAAGTGATTTCTCCTCCTGTATCTTTGCTAAGGAAGTCAGATTATAAGACTACCTCCTGAATAAATTAGAATAATGACAGACAGTACAGAGAGAGACCTGATATGGTATTAAATAAAATGAAGCTAGTCAGTGAAAAGGGAGATTATGATACTGTTGAAGAGGTAGGCAGCAAATCACACAGAACATCAAGTCAGGAAAGTCTCTTCAGATCATTCATGCTAATATCCATCCGCAGCAATAATTTTTTCTGCAAGGTCCTGGTAGACTATACTTTTTGCTTGAACGCTTAAAATGATGAAGTGTTCCCTTTCTTGGAAGGTAGATTAATTTGTTTTTGGACAGATCTGTTAGAAATTTCTTCTTTATACTAAAGCAAGATCTCTTTCCCCGTGGCTTTCATATTCTTTCCTTGGGTGATCCACAGAATGACTCTAATATATCTTTTTCATCGCAATTCTCCAAATATTCAAAGCATATCCCTCCTGTTTTCCTTTTCCACATTAAACAGCTCAGACCCTTCAATGGTATCTTCTGACAAGATTCCCGGACCTCTAAAGAGCCTGGCTATCCTCTCTCATTGAACTCTAGCTGGCCAAGGTCAGCCTTAGAAAGTGATACCCAGAAGGAATTTAGTATTTTGCACATAGCCTGACTAGAGCAGATGACAGTGAGATTAATTTCCCTAGGTATTATACTTCTGTTAATTGGACTCTTGGCTTAAATTGAGCTGGTAATGAACTGTATCTGACTGGTATTTATCTAAATTGCTATCAAACCAGGTTTAGTCTATTCTGTACCTAGGCAAATTAATTTTATTTGATAAATTTCACCTTGTTAATTTGACCCACTTATTCATTATTCTTTCAGCAAATAGTGTTTGAGGTCTACTCTAGGCCAGCCTTTGTGATATGCCCTGAGGATACCAAGAAGAACAAACTGTCCTAACCATTTGAGATTATTTAAAAAATTAAATGCATCATTCAGCAATGTTATTTCTGTCAATACCTGTCACCTATCAGTTTGAGAAATATGGTTTAAGACTTTATTGTTCTAACCAGTTTGGCTCAGTGGGTAGAGGGACCGCCTATGGACTGAAGGGTCCCAGGTTCAATTCCAGTCAAAAGCATGTACCTTGGTTGCAGGCTCCAACCCAGGCCCTGGCAGGGGTGTGTGCAGGAGTCACCCAATCAATGTGTCTCTCTCTCATCAATGTTTCTCTCTCTCTCTCTCTCTCTCTCTCCCTTCCCCTTCCCTTCCAGTCTCTCTAAATATCAATGGAAAAATATTCTCAGGTGAGGATTAACAAACAAAAAGGTTTTTATTCCAGTTAACAAAATTGATTAAGAGAGAATAAAGGATGTATTCCTCTGATAAGCTGGTGACAATGATCCATTAGGATCCTAGATTTAAAATATTTTAGAGCTAGAGGGGACTTTAGGGGCATCTATGTCTAATTCATTTACTTTATAAAAGAGGCTTAACATGTACCTTTGAATATGATTGGCTTAAATACCATATTTCTCAACTTGTTTAAGAGGAAGATCATGGAATGCTACCTTATTTATGGAATTTCAGAATTCAAATTTATTGCTCTTAGAAGTAAATTTTTTCAAGACCTACTCATAGAAACTCATGCTATTTCCTAATAATCACCTTTTTCTTTATTTAAATCCTACAGGTCCATCTACCTAATATCTAGTAGAGGCCCAGTGCATGAAATTCATGCACGGGGAGGGGGTGGTGGTGAAGAAAGGGTGCCCTCAGCCCAGCCTGCACCCTCTCCAATCCAGGACCCCTCAGGAGATGTCCAACTGCCAGTTTAGGCCAAATCCCAGACATCCCTCTCACAATCCTGGACCACTGGCTCCTAATCGCTCACCTGCCTGCCTTCCTCGTCACCCCTCACTGCCCTCCTGCCAGCCTGGTCACCCCACACAGCCTGCTGTTCAGTCATTTGGTCACCCCTCACTAACCCCCCTGCTGGCTTAGTCGCCCCACACAACCTGGTGCTCAGTTGTTTGGTCATCCCTCACTAACCTCCCAGCTGGCCTGGTCACCCCACACAGCCTGCTTGTTCAGTCTTTTGGTTGTCCCTCACTAACCCCTGGTTGTAGGCAGCCATCTTGAGAGGGTGTGATGGTCGATTTGCATATTACCTCTTGGTTTAAAACTCCACTTTGATATTATTTGTAGGTTTTTTTGGGAGTTGAGGGAGCAAATTTCTACTCATTGTGACCTTCCACATTCACCACCAGTAAAGTAATAACTGGCATTGCTTCTGGTTCACATCACTTTATCTTTGATATATAATCTCTGCAGTCTGACCTATGGAGTCAATGCATGCAAATATAAACTATAAAATTATGTATATGTTTATGCTGCCAATTTATTTCTCACTAGTGTTCTTTGTGATTATATTTTCAGAAATTCATTATAGAGCCTCATCATTGGGAAAATTGTGTTTCTAAAGCAATAAGTATTCTCGTTTCCAAGGGAACAAATTCTACGTTAGTCTTTTCAGGTTTTGCGTCTCCCCCCCCGCCCCCCCCATTTCTTCACAATGCTATATTTAGAGCCAGATTTATTAGCTCCAGGCTGCACTTCCTTCCCTGTGTACACTTCTTCACAGTATAATCCCCAGGCAAAATGACAAAAAGGCAAATCCGAAAGGGAAAAAGTTAATGTTCTTGTCAGTGCTTGGGCCTTGTTCTCAAAGGAGCTGAAAATTCTTCTATTTTATCAACAGAATGTGATTTAAAAGAATATATTACCGGCTTGTATCACCGCTAAGGCAGTGGTGTGTAGAGTTAATACTCATAGAAACATATTCTAAAGAAATATATAGTTATCTGTGCTTCCTTCCAAGCAAGGAAAAAGTCAGACTGGCTCAAGTCTCCAGCAACAACTTGTGTCTTTCTTTTTCCTCTTCTTTTGTTTTCTTTTTGTATCTTTCGCCTACCTTCCCCCATTTTGCCCACCCACACCCCCTCACCTCGGGTCACCACCAGCCTCTTCTCTGTAAGGATGAGGTTTTTGTTCTCCATGTATTAATTATTAATTACACCAACAAGATGATACAGTGTAAAGAAATGAAGAGCTTGTAGCAGGTGCCACACTGTAACAGCAGCAGTCACAGCATCTGGAAGTTGTAAAGAGCCACAGCTGGCATCTCTAAAATTCACCTTCTGAAATTTCATTCTGAGGAGATTGCTTCGGAATGGAAGTTCTGGCCAAAGTTGTAAAAGTGCCAAAGTCAAGGGTAGTTGGCATCTATCCTAAGAGAAAGGTAAAAAGAAATCTGTTATACTAGTATAGATGCACAGGATATGTTATTGCAAACCTTTAAGGCAATTCTTGTGTTCTTTTAAATTAATTTGTTTATTTGAATCTTAAAATCTATGCTTATATTTTAAGCGGATTGAATTTGTTTATGAGGGTGATATTATTGGTTTTATCCGATCATGGTAACTATATTTCTGTGTAATTTTTACTTGGACTAAAAATTGTTGCACTCTACATCTGTTTGACCATAGCTATTCCAGCTGATTTCACACGGTAAACAAATACACACACATAAGTTAACACTCTTTTTTCTAGCACCCACAGTCTACCCAGAGTAATCAATTATGGTATTTGTCTTGCTAAGCCTGGAAATGCCTCAGAATACTTTTCAAACAATGTTTTAGCTAACCACTAACAATATATCAGAGTTGGCACTTCTAGAAAATATATTTGTCATTCCAGAGAAAGGCCACACTGCTAAGAAATAAGCCGTATGTAAAAAGATCTCTGGGCCTGGCCTCAGTGGCTCAGTGGTTGAGCATCGACTTATGAACCAGAAGGTCATAGTTCCATTCCTGGTCAGGGCACATGGCCAGGTTGCAGGCTCGATCCCAAGTGTGAGGGATGCAAGAAGCAGCTGATCAATAATTCTTTCTCATCATTGATGTTTTTTTCTCTCTCTCTCCCTCTCCCTTCTTTAAAATCAATAAAAATATATTAAAAATAAAAAATATCTCTGGGTAGTGGCATCAGAAATATAAGGTTCACAAAGGAGTATGTCAGAAACCTTTTTGATAGGGAATTATATCAGGAGAATCAGGTAAATATTTTAATTTCTCAGGAATTGAGAGAAGATAATTCTGGTTTGAATGTAGGGTGGAAGTGAAAATAAAACACACTTTGGGGTGTATTTGGAGACCTATCGTCCATTGTGTCGCCCTCACTTAGATTCCTCTCGTTTTAAGAAGTGCCTTTTTGTGACATCATAGGTGTTCCATGGAAGTAGTGGTCCAAGGAGTAGTGAAAGGGGAAACTTTTGTTTTGTTTCCC